GACAATGCCTGATATTCAATCCTTACCATTATTAAACTCTAATATAGCCAATATATGTAGTTATTATTATAGGTTCTTAATAGGTATTCTGTTACACGCTGTCTATTATAATAGATAAATTATATTTGTAGGTATTATTATTATTATTTATTATTATTCATGATATAATAACGTGTTTTACGTTTGATTATTATTTTTTTTTTAAATATAATTCGCACTTGTGTTTTATTTTATTTTTTAAACTATTTTATCAGTATTATACAACATATTAAATTACATTACTAACTGTTGAACAAGCAATCTAATCAGTTCTTMTAATTTTGTAGGTATGTATAAAAAACTGGAGAATGGTACCTACAGTAGCTTAAATTTCTATTAGGTATGTAGCTACCTTATTGTATCCATAATAATTAAATATTTTAACCATGATAAATTAGTTTCATTACATTGTAAAATTATGAAAAAAACATTATGAAGTGATATATTCAGAAAAACTAATATTAGTTTTGAAGTTATTTTAATTATTAAGACATTATATAGTAAGTTATTATCCTTTATGTTTTTAGATAAATGTAAATATCAAACTTCGATTTGTAAGAAACCAGTTKATATTGAATAGTMTAACAACAACATTTTCATGGAGATGGAGGAACATAACGAGTGGGTACTAACTATTATACGTTCACTACATATTAATTTATAAAATAAAATAAGATATAACAATAATTAATTTTTACATAGATTATAGAAGCCATWATATATAGAAACTTAACCTAGAAATATTTTCATGTGTCCTAATATAATCGTAAATTATATCATAAATAAATAGAAATTAAGTGTAGTTAGATATATAACATTTAAAATAGTAATTTTAATACCATCTTAAAATTAGTCTAATCTAATAAGCCAATTAGATACATTATATTTGAAAATTGATAAATATACTTTATATATCTTGTAAATTATAATTTAAGTATGCATAATGGTTATATTATTATATATATAATTATATATACATCTAAATCAATTAATCAATATACATTGATAAAAATTTAAACGATGTCTTTATTTAAGACAAATTTACGTTGTACATTTTCTTTAACAAAATTAATATTATAGTAGAAGATTCGATTTCTTGGTGTCCTATTTGAAAGCATTTTTAATATCAAAGTAAGTTGTAATAGTATTTTTAAATAACAAAATATAATATATTATTACGTAAATTATGGCTTATATATTTTTATTTTTTTGTTGCTTCGCGTATTATTCTTGTTTAAAACTTTGAGGTGATGGCTATATAATGTAGACGCTATACGCCTATACAGTATATACATCATACTATTTGTACTCTATAATTATAATAATTTTGTCCAATTATTGATGTGTTATTTTTAATAARAATACAAAATACACCCATGTGGGCGTGTGACTAATATTATAGTAATTTTTACCTATAAATACCTATATTCTATATTTCTATAACCTACATTTTAAAAATATTTATGAAACAATGTTTTAGAATATTTGGTTTTTGTTTAACATATAGTCATATAGATGAAGCCATTGAGGTTTGGCCGGTTTTTTGCACATCTCCACTCGACATCCAACCATAAACTGATTTTAAAAGCATGTGAGGGCGACTGGGTGACACAGGGGGTTGCGGAGAATTGGCATGTTCTCTCGCTGGATATAGAGTATAAATTTAAATTTAAAGGAGTGCCTAGTTTTGGAGTTAAGTAACTTTGTGGACTAAGGATAATAGTTGTTATTACAAAAATATGACCATATGTAGGCTATGATTTTGACTTSAATGACAATTTAAAAAAAAAATGGCCAAAATTCATGAAAATCACTCGCTGACTAGCCAACTTTATTAGGATCCGGTGTTGCAACTTGCAAATAGTGTTATCCTGTCCATTGAGCCTTGATTATTCAAACAGTTGGTGCCTAATATACACATATTGAAATTGATCTTTACATACAATATACCACCACATAGGTACATAATATTCTAAAGCCAAACGGGACACACTGGACACTAACGATTTTAGTTTTGTTCCATTCTGAATAGATTTCATTTTATTTTGACCTATTGACCCATTGTGGCAGTGTCCATATAATATGTTGTCACTCGTCTGACAAAATAAGGAATAATTTGAGTAGTGAATCTGAAATCAATTCATGAATCATGACATAAATAATTATAAACAACTTGGTATGATCGTAAAAGTCCAGAAAAAATTGAAGTTTGTGCTACACGGTCACTTGCTTAACTTATATCCATATTATAATTGAGCTTTATTAATATTATTAATTATTATTTCTTTACCATCTTATTTGTTTTCGTATACGCTAGTATGCTTCGCTAAACGATAGGTATATCGTACGTGCCCGGGGTGCCACTACCGAAGAATCTGATCATCTATTATCTATAAGTGTCGAAACTTTACGATCATATCTCAATGCTATAATTATTATAGCATCGTAAATATTGTTTATCATTTTTATGAATGTTACAAAATATTATAGGTATTTGGAGTAGGTATAATATTAAAATCTATATAGTMATTTATCATTTATAATTTGAAGACTTAATATACTGAATTAAATTAAATATAATACTGAATTATTTAGTTTTACCCAACTGTAGGCTGTAAAATAATATCTACACAGATAATTTTTATTATTTAATTAATATGCTCATTGATTAAATGATGCATTATTGTATAGTTGTTGTCGGATAACTTAACACGACGGAAGTGGCGAGAACGGCAAAACTATAGTGGTTTTCCGTATGGGCTTAATCGGTCTCCATTTTTTGATGTTATGCTGCTATTTATACTTTACATCAATTGTTGCTAAAAATGTAAAAAATAATATCATGTCAATATAGTTATAAAAACCAATAATTTGTGGCTTTTGAGTTATCGAAAGACACGAATTTCATAAKTTTATTTAGCACTTATATTAAATTATAGTAGATAATACAAAAGACAAACTAAGAATAATTTTTTTCTTCTAAATTACACTCAACAAGTATCTAAGTCTAGTACACCTAAAACTTATTACTGTAGTATACTGTATACGTGTAAATGCTATATAGTTAAACCTATAAGAATATACGATAATGATACTATAAAGCTATTATTACTTAAGCAAGAATTACTATTATTTATTAGTTATAAATTAAAATACTATCTTGAAGCAATAATCTGCTCAGTAATATCATAAATTTTATTTGCTATTCACAATAATAATTGGCATATTGCGTAGTGCGTATATTATTAAATACAATCAGTATTCGATTACTCGTGTGTCGTGATTGACATTTGACTTTAAATTACTGAAAATAATGTTTGTCATTATAATTGAAATGTTTCGTTTTGCTACTTATATTATATGTCATCGATTTAATATTAACACTAAACAGTAAACACTAATATAAAATATATATTAATATGCCAATATATAAATTTATTGACTGTGTAAGAAACGTATTTGAGTATTTCTGATATTAGGTCAAATAAATTTGTCATATAATTTTATTGCGTCAGCCATCAGGATAGTTTGCAGTTTTTCGAAGAATGATTGAAATAAAATTATGTTTGTTACAGTATAGTAGCGGGTAGGCATGTATATAGGTTATGCGAAATTACGAAGGCCATACCAAGACTGTAAAGGCGGGTTTCCACAATGCGCGTGTGCTGTGTACACTTAAAATGTCCAACAACATGGTAAAGTGGTTATTCACGTGGTAACCTAACCCAACCAATCAATCACAGAAAAGGATTTGCGCGAACGTGTGTAGTGGAAACCCGCCTTAAAGTGTCTATAAGTTGTAACCATTATAACATACACCTATTGAAGTTTGTGATTATGATTTATAAGTTATAACTCATAACCTACTATTTTATACACTTGACACGTCTTGTAATAATTTATAGCCTTAAAACTTGAAAACTTTTCAGTATAATTTTATGATAAACTATTTTTTTATAGTAACTATCCATCCTGTATTATAAAAACATTTGAGTATTATTGGGATTAGGTGCACCTATCTATTCGAGATTCAACAATGTCTTAAGTTTTTACACATTCTGATACTCTGATTTATTCTAAATAATACACATTTTTAAATTTATATAGATAATAATTTTATTTGAATAGCTAATTGATTATGGATAATCGGGAAATTCAACATTCACGATTTTTCAAGATTTATAATCAAATATTTTCGGTTGCTCTTATGGTAGCACTGTTCACTATCAATGACATAATAATAAAAATAATAAAAGCTGATCCGTTAAAAAAAATGATAATAATAATRACAATATAATAGTTTAATAATACGCTATGCTCCTACCTACACTATAGTCCTTTAAATTTTTTATATTTTTATTGTCGTAAATTGATTTTATTGTGTGTTCCTTATTGATACTGTTCGTCGCTTAAATTATTCAGTTGTCTATAAAAACTGAAATGTTGAAATACTTGAAATTCACTAACCGTTCTAAACATCGCGTAGTTCATTTAATTAAATTTAAGTATAATAKATTTATCATTGACATGAGTAAGTTACCTATCCGCCAATAATTAATTGTTTTTTTTTTTTTTCAATAGAAATGTTTAAAACTGTTTATTATGCGTACCTACGCTATCATGTTACTGAACTATAAATTATAAAATAATTTATATAAATTTAACTATCCGCAATTAACTAAACATTTATGTTTTTTTTGTTAACTATAATTATTATATTTTATTTATTTTTTAAGTTTATGTATATTTTATAATCAAAGAATTAGTCTTTAATAAAATACTATAAATATACTAAAGTTATACTTATTCAAATAACCACACTTTTTACTTAAATAAAAATTATGTCCAGCAGAATTATTGATTTAATTACTTTTAATATGTTTAAAATGGGTGCATCTTTTTCAAATTGTTTTTTCCTATTTTATGTATTAGCTTCTTGATGGAGTACAACATTTTTATTTTTGGTTCTTATATTATGTTATTTCACAAATAAAGTTCTTAAACAATGTAGTACTGTACACATCACCTATCTACTGTTTAAAAAATAGGATTTTCATGTATTCCATAAATATATAATATAGGTACCATAATATTCTATTTTTTGCCTGTTATTATGTACCTATGTACTTTAAAAAGACATTTTTTTTTGTAAATATTAAATAGGCATAACTGTTGCCATGAACTGTTGTTCAATACCAACGTCTTGAAAGAAAAACAACCAGTTTCTATAATAATATTTAAAAAGAGTTCTGATTCCTATATGATATTATGTTTTTAGTAATACTTTTTATAACTTTATTTCCTACTTTTCTAGTATGAATGATTTACGACGAATTTCAAGTATGATTCAAAATTATTCAGTATCATGTCCAGATAAACCAGATAAGCGGTATATATTTCAAATCAAAGTATATTGGCTGGCCATAGTTACTTTACTTAGTGTATTGGTTACCTTTGTGTTTTGTGTTTTGTGGACTATATTTTTCAAATTGGAAGATGCTACATCAACACATTGTGGTTATCGAGTATGTTTTTTGAGATTTATAAGTACAATATATTCTTAGTTAACATGTTTATTTTAAAATGTTTAGGTTAAAAATTACTTGCCAACAATATCAACTGCTGTGGGAAACTATCCAGTACAACGGTTTATTTGGACTTTAGTTATAATTGCTCATAGTCCAGTAAGACTCATTGTGGTTGCTATATATTATCAATACTACACTAATATAATTAAGCCATCATTACATTGGTGTGTGGTATTATTAAGATTTTTAACCACTGTTGAAGTATGCTCACTAGTTGTATTATCAATATTTACTTCATCGGATTATTACAGTATGTATTATAATGTTTGATAAATGAGTTATTTWCTTTTAAATCCAAGATTAGACGTATCGAAATACAATATTAGGTTTAATAATTGAAATGWAAATTATATTAAATTTTGTATTATATTTAATTTATTGTGCGATAGTTGATAAGTCTTAAAACCTATGACCTTTTAGAAATTATTAATGAACACGAATCTGTAATACTTGTAATATATTATTTTAGAGACATTAATAACATTATGCTAGGTGTAGTGTTTTCTTCTGTTTTTACTGAATATTCATAATGGTAATGATTTTATGATTTTACATTTTTATGTTTGCTATTATTTATAATTTTAAAGTTATTGCTATTTCTTTTTACATGAATTATTACTTTCTGTTTTATATTCTTTTGGAATATGAGAAACCCAARWATTCATATTTCTTAATTCCTTTAGTCAAATTAGTTTTGATATTAACTGTAATTAACTTTTTATACATATAACTATATAAGATATTTCAGGAAGTTTTGACAGCTTAAYATTAAAATAATATTTTAATATGTCATATTATAATAGTAATAAACCCTGTATAATATATACCATTCTATGGATAGTTTCCAATGGATTGGCTATAAAAACGTCTTTATTATTGGCTGTATATCTTGTTATCTGTTAACTAAGTAAAAACTAAGTAAAATTCAATCTTTATTTTAAGATATTTTGAATTTTTTTTTTTTGAATTAAGAAGAAGATAAGAACAAATTATACAATTTAATAATTAACATAATATTATTTAAGATATAATTTTATACTTCATGTTTATTAGGCATAATGAATAATAACTTTTAGTTTTTTATTTTAATTATAAAATGACATTTTTTAAATTTAAGTGTTAAAAAATGTATAAAATACTCAATATTAACTTTTTATATTATTTTTTAGGTATTCATGAAAAAAGTTTTGTCACATTTATCTGTGCTTCTGAACTAAATATGCTTATTTCTTCTATATTATTGAAAAGAGGACGTATTACCAAAACAGTTATGACAAAATTAGAAATACGGTCATTAAAATACAAAATATATTTTACAGTATTCAATATGACTAGTTTTGCAATTGCTGGCTATTGCTTTTTACGACATAATGCTTACTGTGAATCTGGCGGTTTGTACATAATTAAAATCAATTTTCTATGTACACACACACACACACACACACACAAACACACACACACACACATATATATAATATTTACTTAATTCTTTGTATACGATTTCAGTATATACATTTTTTGCTCTCTTTGAGTATTTAGTCGTATTGAGTAATATGGCATTCCATCTTACTGCAGTTTGGGATCTAGCTGGTGTATCATTAGTGGTGGATGATAATTTAAACCTCGCCTATCGTTGATTGGAGTCTGAGTATATTTAGTATAGTATATAAGATCAAAATACATGTATATATATTGCTATAAAATATGCCTACTAAATTGTGATATTAATACCAAATCAAATTATAGAAACATAATTAAAAATTATTCTAATTGTTTTAACTTTACATAAGCATGTAGACTAAGGTTTATTAGTTTGCATACAATATTGGTACATATGGTGTCTCTTTTAAAATGTTTACGTTTGTTATATTGTAAATAATTGTTAGATATCACAGTTTAATTTTATGATTATATTTTATTAAATGCTATAAGAAAGTAAAATTTCTTAATTAGATACCTAAATTACTTTTTTATTACATTTTTATCAAATATTTATAAACTAATTAGGTATTTATTATTGATATACTTATATTTATACAAATATTGTTAGTTTAAACGAATCTCATATTTTTACACAACTTTTTTTATAAAACAAATATATTTAATGTTCTGATTGCTAGTCAATGATTTTTATAAAATATATTGACAGTGATATACGTAATAAGGTAGTATAATTATAACTAGTAAAAACAAAGAATTTTAGTTTTTATAAAAGTTATTTGTGCTACTATTTTTATGTTTATGAATCATGTTTGCTTTGTTATTATAAAACTTTTTTTTAAATACTTAAGCGCACATATTATATTTTTGTTATGTTGGAATTAAASTACAATATATTGTTGAATAAATACTGAATGTTTATTTTTAAATTGTTAAGTATARTAAATAGTCCTTATAATAGATTTTTATTTGGAAACCAATTTTACATAATTGTTGAAATGGGACATAGAATAAAATTAAATACTTATGCACTCAGGAGTTTTAGAATTCTAAGTAATAATATATTTATTATTATATTAGTAATAATAATAGCATTGTTACAAAAAAAATAATCTTTACATTTTACATGATAATTTGTAGTGCAGTGCATCTTATAAACTAAATYAGATGATATAAGATAGGTTTTTATCTACTAAATTTTAAGAAAGTAATATTAATGTTTAAACTTAAATTTTATTCCCAACATATTTTCAGATAAAGTATATTTTGAACTATATTAACTAAATACAAATTTGGACAATATTTTAACAAACAAACAATATTATACGTTCACATTATTTTTAATTAAGTATAATATAGTGCCTACTGCCTTGTGTATGTGGAAAAAATACTTTCATAAGATTTATTGAGAGTTTCACATAAGTAATCTTCAAGTTATACTCTCCAAATTGTATAATTTAAAAAAGATTTAAATACTTTTTTTTATACCTCAAATGTTGACTTGTCTAATTTTTAAATAATAATTTATGATCCAAACAGCTTAAAAAWTTTTGTACATCCAAAATAAAATACATCACATTAAAGTTTCTATTAATATTTTTTGGTGTAAAATGCATTGCATCTACAAACTGAATCGTCTGTTGAAAACTCAGTTCTGAAAACTCTACCCACTTTTTCATTTTTCCACTCAAAATCTCTTACTTATTAAAATAATTAAAATAATCAATTAAAGAATTTAGATGTGAAATGTGTTTAAAAGACGCAATAGGTACAACAAAAATACTATTTTATCTGAATAGATACTTACTTTAATTTTAAGTTATGTTGAATAACAATTTATTAATACCTATCCACTTGTTATTCAATATTCACTGTACCAAGAAATTTACTATAGTTAAGTCATAGTCAATTTTATCATATATCCATAAGGACTTAATTGTTTTATAACCGTTTTATATGACCCTAAATTATACATAACTCATAATCTATGTTTCACATAATAATATACGATACAATAATATCAAAATAATTTTTATGGAGCACAATAAAATAGACCACTTAAGTCTGAAATCAATAATAATTCTACTAACCAGTAATTATTATTACCTACTRTTTATAATTTGCGAAATAAAAATTATAGCTATATATACTACATATATAAACTTATAAGTGTCAATTATATAGGTACATATCAATTACATTTAGAAGAGTAGAATAAGTACTGTAGTAACTATTTTTTAGGTACCTACCTAGGTATCTATTTTAAACTATTAAGGTAAACTACATTTTTATTACGAGTACCTACCTATAATATTACAGTTAAAAAATAAATAAATAAGATAAGACTTTAATATTATGGTAAGTCACTGATTTCATATTAAAAATTTCTTGAAATGACTTAATTTTGATTAGATACCTTTTTGTATTTTTTGTTCTTCCACTACTTGAATCTTAGAAGTCAGGATTAAAAAGCCAAAGTCCAGGCCAGATGAATGTGTATTGTTGCCGCTATTCTATAATTTGTGAAAATGGTAATCTTTTTAATTTAGTGTCTATGAYGACGCTCATTTATGAATGTAATCTTTTATATTGGCAAACTATTTGGTATACCAACTCATTTTATCCGTTGTCCACTGTAGCGTTGTTAAGGTTAAGTAGGTAACTATAATATAGATTTCATGTTCTAAATTAAATTTGTTCAAATGTCAAGTGTTCATAATTCTGCTACGAATATGTTATTTTTATGTAAAGAAGTTAAAAAGATGTTAGCGCACTGTTTTTTTCTCTCTTTGGCACACACTTAACATAAAAAGATATACCTAGGTATTCACRTAAAATCATTAATTTTTCGAGTAATCTAACTAATCTAATTATAAAATTACCCATTAGGCACAAAAATTAAAGAGGGAAATATTTTAGAGGATAAGACACATCAATTTGTCAAAACAATAAATATTATCTCAAACTCTCAAAACAATTTAAAAATCATTTATACCTACCTACCTACCTAYTTACAATTTTTTTTTCATTTTAAAAATCAATCAGGGTAATTAAAAAATGATGAGCTTGCAAAATTTAATAAACTATAATCTAGGTTTAATTAAGCTTAAATTTTATGTTTCAGTTAATCTCAAATTATTTTATAAATTATCTAACAATAGAAACGAAAATTAAATATTATTGTATTATAAGGTACATAGGTAACTATTATCTCAAATTTTGTTTCAGAAAAGAATATTACATTTTAAATCATTCTTAATCATTAGGYACCTAACCTATTAAATATATATACTTCGAATTCAATATTGTAGAGAATTACAAATTTCATACAATTACTTGAATTATTTGAAAACCCAACGAGCTTCAAAAATTTTAAGTATTGAAAATAATTTCTGTGTGGGTATTAAATTTATACTCATATGAATTTTGATTTTGTTACGTCAACATTTACAGAAAAATTATTCATTAAATAATTTAGGTACAGTTGAAAGGGAAGGGTTGGAGGACCTCATTTGAAAAACATAAGTTTGTATCTCCATAGGACACTTTAATCAGTAAAAAAACATTTCAAGAATGTGAAAATAATATGGTCTTGAACTTTATTTAAAAATTCCAAAAATCAAATTTTATACAACTGCAATACTGCATTTATTATTGAAGAAAAAAGGGAGTTACCATACTTGACGAATCACCCAGTACAAGTGTTCTTTTCAATTAATTTGATAACCGATACCTAACCTAACCTATACAATTCTCATTTTGTTAACARTTCTTTTATATAGGCTGTGTATTTCGATTTTATCGATTTCGTATTTTAATAAAAAACTTCATCTTAACTTGAATCTGACAGCCGTTTYATCGTTTATTTTCAGGAATGATTTTTTTTCAATTTCTTACATAATAGGTGTCAGTTATGACATTATCAATTTTATGACTGAAAAGTTATAATATTGAATTACGTGCTTTTAAAATACATATACAAATTATTAAACGAATYCTCCAATATTTTTTCCATCGATTATTACTTCTACTTATATTTATCAGACTTTGTTAAAGATTCAGTTTTTATGGATTTAGGAGATTTTTGATTAGCGTTTAGGCGTTTTTAACAGGTGAATCTTTATTTCGTATTAAGTGCTTGTGATTTTTATGATATATTATTTGGAGTCAATAAAAGTGGGCTTAATAATGGTCAAATTTACAAAAGAGCTGTAGACATTGTGAACTGAATAAAATAACATATTTAGAAGGAAACAGAATAGATAAGAAACGGACTACTGTGGTGGCATAATATAATAAATTGTTATCACCTGTCAACGTTTAGTACTTATAATATATATCACCATATATAGGCGCCAGTTGAAATTTTTTTAGAGGGGGATAGGGGAAATATTAGGATTTGAGGAGATATTAAAAAAATTTCTCCAATTTTCTTCGCATTTTTTCAATTAAGAAAAAAAATTCCGAAAATCTAGAGAGGTAAACCATCATGTCATCCCTACAATCGCCTATGTCTATTATTAAAATGTACTGATGACTGTAAAAATAGCGCATACCAACTAGGTACTATATGGCTTAATTGATTTTATTGAAGGCAAATAATACTAAATTGATATCAGAAATATAAAATACATAAAACTTGATAAACTTTAACGATAAATAAATAAATATATATTAATAAATGTTTTATTATATTAGACATAATAATTACAGATATTTGCCAATGTAAATACAACTCAATGTAACTTAAGTTTTGTAACCCATTGGCCTATGTCGCCGAGGGTATGTTTCGTGTTAATAAAAAAAAAAAAAAAAAAAAACATMGGTATGTGTATAAAAACTGCGCCTAACTTATTATCAGTAGTGGATCTGAGATTTTTTATGGTGGATGTCCATGTTGATAATAAGGCTCATTGAGTATTCATCACGAATTTCCAAGTAAAAAGGCCACAATTTCGGCCCTCAGAGTAGAAACAAATTAAACCTATTTTCTGGTAGTATAGTCTACGAATAGTTCTACTTGATATATAACTATCTAAGTACCTAATTTATAGAACAACAATATTTACACGTAATCAATAATAATATTTATATTAGATTAAATCAAAATTGGTATAATGGCACGTAATATGCAATGGCAATAATAATAATAATAATAATAATAACGCTTTATGTTCAAAATGTCAGATGTGTCAGAACTGAAATCATGCATTTTCTTTTACTAGAGGACGTTATTTCGTTTAATTTTTTATCGTTAATAATTATGAATTTATGATACTACCATTCAAGTATGTACCTCATTTATTTTATAATTACCTATTCAAAAATTAATTTGCTCGCCAATCCAGTTGGTTTTACAATGTACCTACGTTCCTTAGAATTACAACTGGGTAAACACACTTCAACCAATCATTATAAATATTTTTATTATTTATTACATAATGGATATACCAACAAATTACCGTTTCTACTAAATTGTTGATTTATAGTATTTATTAATTATTGGTTAATTTTTTTTTCAAATCCATCTATTCATTGTTATAATCAAATACGTATGTAGGTAATAGGTACGTAGGTACCTATATATTATTGTTCAATTGTTATGCTGTAGTGTTTAAGTTCAATTAAACACAAAACAGTGAATTGTTTTATTACGATAATTAATTTATATTCGTTT